GTCTCCTACATTCATTTGCCAAGATGTTTCCAAAGACAGGAGAGAGGTCTCGAAGAAGGGGGAAAAAAAAGATTCTTTTTCTTTTGTTTTGTTTTGAAAAAATGTTAATGTACAATTTTAAACCACAATAATCTTTATTTTTTTCTTAAGCTGTAAAGCATTTCTCCTAAGTAAACCCCTAGGTCTCTTGCACACTATAATATAAGAGTTAAGCATTTGCTAATCTCAGTTGTAATGTCTGAAAAGCAGATCACAGACTGCACCATTTGTAATTTATTTAGTTAGAACTATGAGTTATTTCAGAAGGAGCCAATGAAACCTACATAAATATATATAACACCATAAGATAATAAAATGATGTATATAAAGGGAGAAAGGGAAGTTGAATGTTTAAAAAAAAAAAAAGATAAGCTATCCTAGGAGTAAGGTTAGCATGCCAAATGAATGTATTATATAAAGGTCTACAGATTTCCTAGAGGACAGAGGCTTGGCTCTCAGCACTTCTAGCAGCAAAAGATACAGAATGCCTCGATTGTATGACTCAACAGTCTTAAGATGTAAACAAGAAGTATTGGGGTACTATCTATCTTTATAGAAAGGATGCTATATAATGCTCCAAAATCCTCAATAACATCCTTGCAGCTGATTTATCAGGACTTTGGAAGACCATTCCTCATAACCACCCACACAGGCAAAATGACAGCTCACAAGTAGATGAGTAAACATGCAGGAGAAGAAGTAAGTACACATGCTGGCAGGCGTCCAAGAGACCCAGATATGAAGCTCCTTGTGGGTCTAGATTCCATTCTGACTAAACTAACCTGAAATACAGAGGCTTCATACACCACTTGCCTATGAATATAAATGAAGTTTGATGTTCATGTCTATGAAATGTCTGCAGCTTTGGGACATTCTCAGAGGAAAGCCTGGCACAAAACAAGGATTACTGGTAAGAATTAAGACCTGAGCATCTGGCTCCTGCAGGTGAGCCTACATTGTTTCTCATGTGAAACTCAAGGCTGGAGTTCCTGATGACAATAGAAGTCTGCTCTTCTCTGATATGAAATTGTGACTTTTTCAAGCTATGCATCAAGATATATACACTCTTTAATACAAGAATGGGTAATAGCATGTGAGCATAAAACAATCCAATCACCCGGCTAGATTTTAACTAAACCTTCATCAAAGGACTGGTGTGTTTCTTCTATATAGTACTTATTTAAAAGGAAAAAAAAAAAATGCCTTTTGCCTGTGGATAAAATTATAGGTTACTACCAATCATTTTCCTAAATGACATTTTTTCAGGTTTTTGTTTGGTTGGTTGGTTGGTTTGGTTTGGTTTGGTTATTGTTGTTTGAGACAAGGTCTCACTGCAAAGCTCTGACTGTCCTGCATATCACTGTGTAGACCAGATTGGCCTTGAACTCACAGAAATCCACCTGCCCAGCCACTAACTGAGATTTCTGAAGTTTAAAACTAACAACCTTTCTATCTCTACTGATACAATCTGAGCTTCACTTGTAAACTTTGGTTGTTTTCATCTTATGTTACATGAGAAAATCATTGCCAATAGCTTCAAATACATACACAAGCAGTCAACCATTAGCCCACAGTGTGGTGGATAGGATGTTTCAAGAGTCCAAGAGAATAAAACTAAGACCCTGGTCCATTGGATCATAGAGATGAAGCTCTTTTTAGACCATATGCTTCTAAATGAAGTCATAGACATCCAGTATAGTCTTTAGCATAAATCCAGAGATGCCTTTGTGCAAGAAAAAAAAAAAAAAAACACTTGTTGAATATGATAACTCAGCTCATAGGAGGCTGAGATAAAAATCAGACTCCTAATGCATTAATTAATAATAGGAAATATTCCTTTTCTGTAATCAGAAAACATAAGCCTAATACCAGAATGCTGCTTTCTCAATGTTCATAGAATCCTTAATTAATAATCAGAAGTTTATCAGATATTAGAAAGAAGACAAAGAAAATTTGGGGAATGCCTACCAAATTAGTTATGGGTGTCCAACAAGCATCTTTTTAGTGACTAAGGTTGTGACTCCCACAGGTAAACCATCACTGCCTCAACATGGCAGACTTTCAGCTGCCTCTTTCCATTGAGTACTCCCAACTAAGACCCAGTACAACTAAAATACTCCTGGATAAGCTGCTTAAGCAATTGGCCCAAGGTCACAGAGATTCTGACCTTCAAACAAAGCACAGGGCATAGTGGCACAAGCCCATACTCCCAACACTGGGGAAGTTGAAGCAGGCCAGTTGGTTGAAATGATTGTTCCCATGTTCCCAGAACACTATAAGCACACCACACTGTCACTTTTGGTCTTTGAGTCTATTTTTCCTATTAGGCTGAAACTTCTGGAGAACAGAAGTGATGTTCAGCCACCTTTGCATCCCTACAGTGCTACTTATCTAGATAAACATGCAAGTTTATTATCCTGTGAAAATACCAACAAACCATAAGACTCAAACTAGTCAGATAGCCTTAGAAAGGTGACAATGTCCCCGGCCATCAGCACAACATCTAAAAAAGCAGGGTGAAATCAATACATAAGAATGAAACCAATATATAAGGATGAAACACACAAGAACATGTAAGTTTCCTTCAGAATCTCAACAGCACTCTTATGCCTTATCAGTATGAATTATCACAAATAAAACTCAACTCATTCACCCTCTGTGCTGTGTATTTTTTATGTGTGTATACACACAACTAATAGCTCGGGAGAGGCATCTTTTCTGAAAGGATATAACTATCATCCAAAAAGTCAAACAGTGGCACCCTCCTCTGGTGAATGTTAAAGGAGCCAAGAACACAAATGAAAATAACTAGATGATGGGATTTTCTTCAAATGATATAACAAGAGAATAAAAAGGCTAGAGAGAACTCACCCAGTGGTATCTGTTACTATCACAATCCCAACAGCAACCTAAAACCTCATTTGTAACACTTCTTATTTTACTTTTTTTTTTAAAGTAAAACAAAGCCAAATAGAATTAACTGAATGCATGTGATAAGAGGGGGTAAAACAATTGCCCTATTTTTGTAGAAATTTATAATGTTAATTATTTTTGCAAACAGCAAGCATTTTAACATAAGGTATAATAAAAAGCATTTTTGTATTTAGCTAATTTCAGTCATCTTTTCACTCAACACTTTTTTAAATGCAATGAAAGCTGAGTACATGTAAAATACTGAGTTAGGGAAAGCCTCCATCACACCCTTTTCTGGGTGGTATATCTACCCCAGCCACTGCTAGAAACTTCTCAACTGAAACTTCTGGCTCTGCAGCTCCCATGGCTTGAAAGACTCCAGTGAAAAGATTTTAATCATCCAATCACAAGTCTGAGCACAAATCATGCCAATATGTCCCAGCTAGACAACCACAGCACTGATATCCCATCAGAACTTCTAGGTGTTTTCAAAACCCAGAATCAGATTACCAGCAACTTCCTTACTTTAGATATACAATGAATATGTTCATCAAATTATTGACAGGGGAGAAAACCAGTTTCCTTCACCCCACTGAGTCCAGGCACATAAAATGGCATTATGACTTGGTCATTACACTGTCACCCTTGTCACTCAGGTATCTTTTTGCTCAGTATGCAGTGTCTCCTGTCTCAATTAACATCCTGTCTTTCAATTACTCTGTGGTCAAGGGGGGGGGGGAGACTCCAAACCACCCCTCGGGCTACAAAAGCACAGGAATGAGAAATTTTCATTCCGAAGGACACATAAACAGGGAGAGGGAATGGGAAAAAAAAAAAAAAAAAGTTTAAGGACTAATTCTAATCTTGTCATCTAAGCTTTCCAACTGTTTGGCATTCCCTGCAAAGTTGGCTGGTAGGCACCTGGGCAAGATTTACAAATAGTGAGTGGAGAATGCAGATAAGATAACCAATCAAAAGCTTCCTCGATGTTTACCAAAACAAACAAACAGAAACAAAAGCCACTGGACCAAAGAACAAGCAAACACCTGAGGAGAAAGGCAGTCCTACAATTCCCTGGAGCCCACCGGGTGGAGGAAGATGGGTAAGAGTGCAGTGGGACGAAGAGAAGGAATAAGTACTAAGGGATGCTGCCAAAAAAAAAAGAGGTGGGAGAGCATGACGCAATGAAACTGTTACAAGTGTCCAACAGAGACAGATGTCATCGGGAACTTAGCTCTAGAGCCACATTTTAACACTCACTTCGTCTGGGCACAGGCCCAAGGACAGGACCTCCAGGAAACCTGAGACTATACACTCCAGAGTGTCAAATATCCCAGAAATTTAGGAGAAAGACCTAAAGCGGCCTTTAGCCCGTTTCCTGCTCCCAGATAACCCCCTAACAAAAGGGTTTATAGAAGGAAAGAGACATCGGTATCCCCAAGCTGGTCACTGCACAGAGGTCAGGTGTGGCTGTTGCCTGCTCTGCCCACAGCCACCTCTGCAAAGGCCAGGTAGTCAAAACACACCACCAGTGCGGCATCCCTGTCCCAGTTCCATTGCACTAACAAAGTTGACAGACTTGGGAAGAAGCGCGGCATTGCATACGGGGGTCCTTCCCTAGAGCGAAGGAAATTGAAGAAGTCACAGCTTGTTTCACCTTCACTGAGTCTATAGAACAGATGAGGCGTGTTCCCTTTAGGAGTTCACTGAAGACACTCTTCCTTCGCGGCTAATTTGCCTCTGATTCTAGGATCGGAACACTGAGGCCCGAGGGCAAAGTTCACTGGATATACTATTAATTCTCCCCGGAAAAGTAGCAGTCATTTACTGGCTTCTGACCTTGGGAACTTTGTATCAAACCCGCACGGAATATGCAGTGCACATCTCTCAGCTACACTGAACGCTCGGACCCAAGATCTCCTTGGCAGGGTCTTGGCCACTTGAATCACATCACCAGGTCACCACCACGCCCCTCTCGCCCAAATCTGACCCTGCCACACAGGCGATGACCGGTTATTTACACGCACACAGACCCAGAGAACTCCTACCTCGCCGCCGTGCCCATCGAAGATCCCGAAGATGGACGGGTGCGTCTTGTTGGCCAAATCGGTGAGAACTTCGAAGCGATCTTCCATGTGGTCTCTCCGGCCCTGGATGGAGTACACCGCCACATTATGGCTCTTGAACTCCCAGGTCTTGGAAAACTCGGCCTCCAGCACGTCTAGTCCTCCAAGGCGATCGTTCTGCATAATCTCGGCCACCTTGCCCTTCACCATCTTCACCGCGTCCCGGCTGGACTTGACGATGGTCTTCACTTCGTCCGTGTGGAAGAAGTAACTCCACAGAGCCAAGCTGATGCACAGCAGAAAAAGCGTCTCGGGTCTCAGCAAGAAGTAGCGCATGATGCGACCCAGCAGAGACAGCAAAGTCATTGTATCCTCTATCATTTATTATCCCTAGAGCCCCTACCAGCAGCAGCGACGCGCGCCCCGCAGCTCGCGGGGTCCGAGCACTGCGGGCACAGCCCGTGGAGACCGAGGCGAAGAGACAGCCCGGGCCGGCTGGACAAACCCACCGCGGGTCGGGACAGGCGCCCGGAGCGACGGCAGTTTCCCTTTTGTCTAGGCAGCCCCGAGGCCCGTGCCCGCCGCCCGCGCCGCCTTCCCTCCCCGCGCTCTTTGTGAGACCGCAGCGACGGCGGCAGCGGCGGCCGCCGCGGGTGCCCGGGGTGGGCGACAGGAATCAAGTTAAAGTTGTGCTGAGCCGGTCCGCAACGGTGAACAGGAATTCGGGGTGCCAACAGCCGCGCTGTCCCTTTGGGGGTCCCCCCTCGCGATTCCCGGGAGCGATCGGCAGGTGAGGAAGCGCAGGGCGCAAGAGCCCGGCGGCGGGCGAGGGTTGCACGTCCCCTCGATCGCCGCTGCAGCCGAGCGTGGAGACAGCGGAGCGCTGCAATTTCGTCACACAACCCGGGGAGGCCCGAGACAATAAAAGTTTTGCGGGCGCCTGGGCAAAGGCAGGGAGACACCGAGCCGGGAAACGCAGCACGATGGGTGCAGAGCCGCCGGCAGGCTCAGCCTGCCTCTCCCCGGCACCTCACGGCTCGGCTCTGCTCGGCTCCGCTCGGCAGCTCCCGGCTCCGCTCCGCTCGCGCTCGCCCCGCCCCGCACACGCTCGCCCCGCCCCGCCCCTAGAGTGGAGCTTCCAGACCGCGTCGCGCTCTCACCCGACTGGGGGCCCGAGCTCGCTGTGGAGGACGCGCGTGGGCAGCAGACAGGTCGAGGCGAACCGCGAGGGGGGGACGAGCATCCAGCCGCCCAGATCTAGCGGATTACCGACTCTCCCTCGGGGACCGGCTCCCGGGAACAGTATGATACTGACGCCACTGCGGTGAACGTTGGTTTCTCGGGCGACACTGCTGCTAGCTGCGGAGCCGGGAGCTGTGCTTGACAGCTTCCCCCTCCGGCACGCTGCACAATGGTGCCGTCCACGCCTACCCTTTCCTAAGGCTAGCAAGATGGGACACATTCCTCCCTGCTCGAGAATCGAAACTGAGTGGTTAGTTTGGCCACACGAGGCGGTAGCCTACGAGGCCAGCCCGGATCTCCCGAGAGGCAGGACGCAGTCCCGGGCCCCAGAAGCTTTCTCCCTCGGACAGCAGAACTGGGGACCTTAGAGATGGAGATTAGGGTGCTTGGCAACCTCGCGAGGTCCAGGAAGGGCTGGCCTCTAAAGACTGGGACTGTCCTGGTCGCCACGCTTGCACGGGGAGACACGGAGTGTCGTCCGCCAGCGACTCCGCCTGCTGTTCAGGTCTGAAGTCTTCTGGAGGCTCAGAAGTGACAACTACCTCCTCAGTCCTTGCAGAAGATAAGGGCAGGAGTGTAAGCAAAGGTGGACCTCCGCAGGATAACTTGAAATGTGGGCAAGGGCTGGTCGCCTTGAAAACGAACAAGTAACCTTTAAAGGAAAATGTTTCACTACTCTACCTCTGTCCACAAAGAACGGTGCTGATCCACTGGACTAGAGTTCAAGCCTCCTGATACCCTCCCAGCCAGTGTGTTCCCCCCAAACATTTCTGCCTTCTTTTGCTCCCAGTTACGTTTTAAGATATAAAAATATAAGCCTGGTGATGGTGGTGGTGCATGGCTTTAATCCCTTTACTGGGAGGCAGATGCAAGTGGATCTTCGTGAGTTCAAAGCCAGCCTGGTCTTCAAAGCGAGTTCCAGGATAGCTGGGACTGTTACACAGAGAAATTCTGTCTCAAAAAACCGTGTGTGTGTGTGTGTGTGTGTGTGTGTGTGTGTGTGTGTGTGTGTGTGTGTGTACTGGAAAGAAATATAACAAAATGTCCACAGTCGATAACTAAGGTAGTAACTATAACAATTCTCATTTTCTCCCTCAGATTTTTGTCTATTTTACAAAACTGCCAAAGTCTCTACAAAAACCTAGACTTCCCTCACAAACAAACAAACAAAAAAAAAGAATACTTGGAATTTAAGAGACACATATAATATGACCCCAACAATATAAATATGAATAGGAGTGATAGGAAACAAATATGAGGAACTGTTAAGAGTATGTGTTTGAAAATTAGAATATGGTTTTTAATATATGATTATAAGCTATGGCTTTCAATACTGTACACCTGAGCAAGAAAATGTAAGTTCAAAACAATTAGATCATTCTGTTCAATATTCAAGAGGCTCCAAAATCAGATAATAAATTAAAAATCCTTTAAGAATTATAGATAAAGAGGATGTCCTAGATGTTGTTAGGGAAACACTATGTCTTAGCAGATTTGAGGTGCTAATTTTTGTCCATAAACTGTCTCTTAAAGCAAACACAATTTGTAGGTAAACATTATGATTCCAGGCCTTCCTTAAATTAGCCAGCTGTAAAATCCCAAGCACAAAGGTCTGCTGGGGCCTCTGCCTGCACTCAGCTTTCCAAGTGCAAGGACTAGAGAACACACCCCTAGACACGTGGCTTACACCCCCCACCCCAAGCTAAGCAAGCAAGATTACCATAGTAGTTTAATGTAACTAAGTAATAAACTTGGAAGCCTTTAAATTTTGTGATGCTCTGCTGTGACATTTACATCCAATGCTGTAACATTATACATCTGTGTAAAAACCAAGAACATTTTGAAGAAGACCCTCTAAGCATTTTTCTATCTCTGTTGAGAAATTTCCCATAACTTAAAATGTTTAAATGCCTGATAAGCATTTTGTTATACTTTACTGTAAATTGAATGTGCTAGAAAAACAACAAAATACTTTCCATTAATGCCAAATTCACTTTTGCTTATTTTGATTACAAAGGCTTGGTTTTGTTTTTTGTTTGTTTTGTTTAGAGGTTTTTTGTTTGTTTGTTTGTTTGTTTGTTTGTTGAGACAACACCCCTCCTTAGCCTTGGATGGCCTGGAAGTCACTATGTGGACTAGACTATCTTTACACTGATAGATGCTTCTGCCTTTGCCTGCCTAATGCTGGGACAAAAGGTGTGTTCCACCACACCTAGCTACAAGAATTTTTAGTTGTATTTGTTTCCATCCATACAACAGTATTCTAATGAAGACAGAGAGTTGTACAGATCTGTTATCTGTATAATAGGAAGTTAGGCCCAAAGTTGTCAAATATCACAATACAACAAATAAGAAATTGAGCCCAATTCTGATCATACAGTACTCCAATATCCATTGATTCCAGTGATTTTGAGATGATTAGTATAATTTTTATTTTCAGTTAATCTTCATTACAGAAATATCAACAACAACAAAAACTACATGGATTGATTCTTATGACACATAAGTATCTGACACAGTACAAATAAATTGTCCTGCCAGCAAACACCCAAAAAAAAAAACCTGCTTAAGTGAAGTTTTCTAAATTTCACAGACAAGAGGTAGTATAAAATACATGCTATACAAGTACAAGTATCTGCACAAGAAACTTGGTAATGAACACTGAGCTAAAGGCAGTCCTAAGGTTTTCATGAGATAGAAGAATAGTGACAACTACTAGGTAAGGACTGGAAAGATGGCTCTGTTGATGACATGCCTGCTGCTCAAGCCCACTCAAGCATGAGAACATGTCTTAGTTGAAGTTTCTATTGCTGTGAAGAGACACCATGACCACAGCAACCCTTGTAAAGGGAACTGGGGCTAGCTTACCCTTCAGAGGTTTAGTCCATTGTTATCATGGCAGGAAGCATGGCAGCACGAAGGCCAACATGGTACTAGAGAGGTAGTTCAGAATTCTACATCGGGTCAACAGGCAGCAGAAAAAAGAAAAAGAAAGTGATGCTGGACCTGGCTTGGGCTTCTGAAACCTCAAAGTCCACCCCCAGTGACATGCTTCCTCCAACAAGGACAAACCTCCCAATAATGCCACTCCCTGTGAGCCTATTGCCGGCTATTTTCATTGAAACCACCACAGATCCCAAGCCCTTGTGTGAAAAGCTGGATATGCATCTATGGTCCCATTGTCAGAGAAGTAGAACCCCTGGGACTTGTTGGCCAGCCAAATGGGTGAGCTCCACATTCAGTATGAGACTTTGTCTCAAAAAGTAACCAGTAAATATTCCCTAGTCTGATGCTTCATCATGTCCTCATCTATTTTGTTTTTGCTACCTTGTACAAAGTTATTCTTTAAGCCTCTGGATGATGAATGTAGAGATTGAAGAGGTGACTCCATAATTAAGAACACTTGTTGCTCTTGCAGAGGACCTAGTTTCGGTTTCCAGTAGCCATGTAGGGGCTCAAACCATTCATAACACCAGTTCCAGGGATTTTGAGTTGTTTTTTGGTTTTTGTTTTGTTTTTTGAGACAGGGTTTCTTTGTAGCTTTGGAAGCCATCCTGGAGCTCACTCTGTATACCAGGCTGGCCTCAAACTCACAAAAATCCACCTGTCTCTGCCTCCCAAAGCCTGGGATTAAAAGCTTGAATTTGATGCCCTCTTCTGAGGGCACCAGGCATGCACATGGTGCCCATACTTACATGCAGTGGAAACATTCAGACAATAAAAGTAAATAAACTTTAAAAAAAATTTTAAAAGAAAAACTGTGAAGGAAATTTCAAATCATTTAGAAATTCTCTACATATTTTAAACTTGTCAATTATCACTGAGTTGTGCTCTTAATTTTGCCATTTCTATGCAAATGATGCTTTGTGTGGAATACGAATGTGTTGAATACTTTTTCTGACATTCTGCAGTACATGCTGCTATATGTATAACCTTTTCAACTATACATATGAAAGGGTACCTTAAAATGTTGTGTTGAAGCACAACCCCCATAAAACCACAGGCATGAAACAATGGCCTGGTTGAAAAGAAGACTATCAACCATAAAGATTTCTCCTTCCTCATCTGTCCCCCATTGCTATCATACTAAGCAATATGTCAGCATCCCTGAATTACTTATGCTCGAATTTTTGCCTGGGTTAGTTTTCAAGGTTTTGTTTTGGCTTTTCTTTTTCTTAAATAAAAATCACTGTACTGCAACGAACTTACAAATAAAAACATCATGCAGCTAGATTAATGTAGCCACTCAAGCACACCCTTGCTGAGTCCCGAACTCTATGAACTGCTCTGTGAACTGCTATATAGTTAGATTGGCCATTCTGAAACCCTGGAGATTCACTCAGGGTTTTATACACTTTCACCATCAATTCTTGTTTTATGCAGTTATCTACCACATAAAAAGAAGGAAAGAACAATGTGACAGAGTTGAAAGAAATCCAGTTAGCTTCTGTCCTCTTTCATGGAGTTTTGAACTTCATGAAATGCTACCTTGCTGTGTGTAATCCTCTACACTTGCCTTTTCCCCCACAGTTGTCATTTCCTCATCCCCACGTTGTTATGCATAGATGAAATTTGGTCATCCTCCTCGCAGAAGTATCTGGTTGCTAAGTTTTTCTTTTTGTCTTTTGTTTTGTTTTGATGAATGCTATCATAAATTTATATGTGTATCACTTCATGGTGTGCGTGCATACAAGTCTATCCCAGGTATAGACATGGGGGTGAAACAGCTAAGAAGTAGGGAATGAAAAGGTTCAATGTTATAATTCATACTTCAAAATGTTTTTGAAAATGTTATTCCTACTTACAGCCCTACCCAGTATGACC